TGCTTCCAGAGGGAGGGGTGGGGAGAGAAAGAGAGAGAGAGGGAGCAGCAGAGAGAGCAGCAGGATAGAGCAGAGAGAGCGAGCAGGGGGACAGAGAGACAGAGACAAAGAGAGAGAGACAGAGACAGAGACAAAGAGAACAGGGAGAGCAGGGGGACAGAGAGACAGACAGATGGAGAGAGAGAGAGGGCAGCAGCGTGGTGCCTTTTATTGTGGCGGATCCGCTAGGCCTGTTGCCTTGGGGGAGGTTCGGGATGTTCAGAAATAAGGCGGAGTAAGCCCAGTCAAGCCCCAGGCAAGCCCAGGCATAATTCTCACCGGTTTATGTGCTTGGGACCACGGGGCAGTGGAGGATACTATATTCTTACAATAATCACCCAAAGTTCATAGTTTACCTTTTACTTCACTGTTGATGTTGTACATTCTGTGGGCTTGGACAAATGTCTAATGATGTGCATCCATCATTATAGTATCGGAGTATTTTCACTGCCCTAAAAATCCTCTGTGTTCTACCTATTCATCCCTTCTCCTACCTCCAACTCCTGGCAACCACTCATCTTTTTTACTGTCTCCATAGTTTTGCCTCAGCCAGAATGCCATATAGTTGGAAACATAAAATATCTAGCCTTTTCAGGTTGGCTTTTTTCACTTAGTAATATGCGTTTGAGATTTCTCCATGTTTTTTCATGACTTGATAGCTCATGTCTGTTTGGTGCTGAATAATATTGCATTGTGTGGATGTACCAGTTTGTTTATCTAATCACCTACTGAAGGACTTCTTGGTTATTTTCAAATTTTGGCAGTTATGTATGAAGCTGCTTTAAAGATTGGTGTGCAGGTTTTTCTGTAGACAGAAGTTTTCACCTCTTTTGGATAAATACCAAGGAGTGGGATTGCCGGATCCTAAAGTAGAGTATGTTTAGTTTAAGAAACCACCAAAATGTTTTCCAATGTGGCTATACCACTTTTATTCCCTGTAGCAAAAATTGAGAGTTCCTGTTGCACCACATCCTCACCAGCATTTGGTGTTGAAAGTGTTCCAGTTTTGGCCATTCTACCAAGTGTATAGTGGTATCTCATTGTTTTAATTTACATTTCCCTGATGACATGTGGAGCATCTTTTCATATGCTTATTTGCCATTTGTGTATTGATGAGGTGTCAAGGTCTTTGTCCGTTTTTAAATTGGTTTGTCTTATTGTTGAGTTTTAAGGGTTCCTTTTATATTTTGAGGAACAGTCCTTTATTATGTGTCATAACTGGTTTTTTAAATTTTTTATAATGGCCATCCTTGCAAATGTGAAGTGATAACATTGTGGTTTTGATTTGCATTTCTTTGATGTGGTGATGAACATCTTTTCTTATACCTATTGGCCATTAGTATGTCTTTGGAGAAATGTTTATTCAAGTCCTTTGCCCATTTTTTAATGTTTTTTTCTTGCTATTGAGTTGTAGATGTTCCTCATGTATTTTGGATATCAACACCTTATCAGATGTATAGTTTGCAAATATTTTCTTCCATTCCATAGGTTGCCTTTTCATTCTGTTGCTGTGCACACAATTTTTAGTTTGATGTCCCACTTGTCTGTTTTTGCTTTTGTTGCGTCTGCTTTTGGTGTCATAACCAAGAAGTCATTGACAAGACAAGTGTCGTGAACCTTTCTCCTTGTGCTTTTTTCCAAGGCATACAGTTTCAAGTCTTAAGTTGATGTATTTAATCCATTTTGAGTTGATTTTTGTGTATGACATGTGTCCAATTTCATTCTTTTGCATGTAACTATCCATAACGGTCTTGAACCTCTCTAGTGAATTTTTCAGTTCAGTTATTAACATTCTTTAGCTCCAAAATTTGTTTCGTTCGTGTGTGTGTGTGTGTGTGTGTGTGTGTGTGTGTGTGTGTGTGTCTGGATAGTCCTTTTGTTGAAATTCTCATTTTGTTCATGGATATTTTTTCTGAGCTTGTTGAGCATCTTTATGATGATTATTTAAAATTCTTTATCAGATAATTCATATACCTCTATCTTTAGACTCAGTTTCTTCAGACTTACTTCATTCCTTTTATTGGAACGTTTCTCCTGTTTCTATTATGTTCCTTGTAATTTTGTGTTGGTATCATTGCATTTGAAAAAACCCTCTTCCAGTCTTTATGTACTGGCTGAGTACAGAGAAAGGCCTTTACTAGTCAGCCTGGCTGTAGATTCTGGGGGCCTCCCCAACCTTTTCTCTGGGTCTGTCTTCTCTGTACCTGTATATGTAGATTCCAAATCAGAGGAATTTTCCAGTTTTTTCTTCCTGTACTTGTACTCTCTTGCATCTTCTGTACCATGGGTCCTGTGAAGTAGCACACTACGCAGCTCTTTTTTGTTCCTAGATGGTCCCCAGATAGCTAGAGTATGCCAGGTACTGTTAGCGCCCTAAGTCAGGCTATTTAAGAAACCAGCCCCACAGGCAGTCCCACAGAAAACTGAAATGTTGAACACAGCCTCCAGTCATCCCTTTCTCCCATGAGGTAGAAGTTGCTGAGCTGTATTGGTCTGTTTGTTGTCCCGTGGGTTCTCTGGATCTGTAGTTAACCACCCAGCTCTTTTTTTAGTTCTCAGTAGGCCCCAGGCACCTAGGGTGTGCCAGTTCTTGTCTGTGCTCTGAGAAGTGGAGAAAGAAGCTAGTCCCTCAGGCAGGCCCCGCACTCCCCTCCCCTCCCTGCCAAGTTAGAATGTTAGATGTAAAGTACAGTCTTCTTTCCCTCCCCAGGAGAATTTCAGAGGCCAGTTTTCTTCCAGTTGTGTGGTGCTGTGCTGGGAGGAGGGACTATGGTGAAAGGGTGTCATGAATTTTCCTACTACCTTTGATGCAGCTGGTTTAGTAGCACCTGGGGTGCAGGAGCCTCTTAACTGATTTCTGAGTTCTCATAAAGGGAATTGGTATGGGTATTGTTGAACTGGTGTTTCTGAGCGAGGAAGGAAGACCTGGGACTTCCTATTCTGCCATTTTGCTGATGTCACTTCCATCAAGGACATTCTTAAGTGAAGTTGGCTTTTTTTGTGAATGGTCATGAAAAATAAAATGAAACAGTTTGCATCATACCTGAGACTGGCTTTATTCTCTGATTTCTTTATCACAATGAATCAATGAAACAGTTTGGTGCTACTGCCCTGATACATTCTAAGGTGCCTGGAGTCCTGACTTCCTTTGTTTTTGAACAATTAGTGTAAATGTAAATACAGGAAAAAAGGAAAATGAAGTCTTGGTATTATGGATACAGTTTTGACCTCACAGAACTCCAGGAACTGTCTCTGGATCAGGCAGTTTGTGAAGCACACTGAAATACAGTTTTTCTAAGTGTCTTAAAAAGAATAGTGAATGGATATTGGATTTTATCAAGTGTTTTTATGCATCTATGAAACTATCATATATTTTTAAAAACTCTGTATAATGTGATGAATTAATTAGAACAAATATTTGGGATAAACTTGCATTAGTCTTGATGTATTTCAATATTATTTTTCCATTTATATATTATCTCTGTACTTAATACTACATGTTTAAATACCACAAACACTATTATTATTATTATTAAAGTTAATATTCACTTAGAATTATCCATATACTTGCCACTTTTTTCCTCATCATTTCTTGTTGCAACTATAAGGTTATTCTATCTGGGATCATTTTTATCTTGTCTAAAGAATCTCCTTAAGCATTTCTTCTAGTGTGTGAACTCAGTTACTGTTTGTGGGAAGTTCAGTCCTTACTTTGCCTTCCCTTAGAATTGTGTTTTTTGGGTACAGAATTTAATAATCTCTGGCATTCAGTGTTCTTGTTGAGAAGTCATGTAGATAATATTGTCTTTTTTTTCCTTAGGTGCTTAAATGATTTTATCTTTTTCTTACCATAGATAAGACAGGTTTTATAATGACATGTCCATATGTGGATTTCACTTCAGTTCTGGAAAACTGAATTCTAATTATTGGCTTTTAATTTCTTCAAATATTGCTTTTGCCCTGTTTTCTCTCTTCTTTCTAGAATTCCATTTAAGTATACCTCTTCACTATATCCTGTATATCTTTCTTTGCTTTACTTACTCTAATGAGGAAGTATTAAAAATACAAGTATTTTTTTTCAGATTTTCAGTTTTTGTTTTTAAACTGTATTATTGAAAAGAATTTCTAAACATATGAGCAAGTAGAATGTTATATCCCCTATGAAATCATCAACCAGCTTTAATAGTTATCAACTGCTTGTTTCATCTATAACCCCACCACCCATTTTTGCATTCTTCTGAGGTAAATATTTTATCTGTAAGTATTTCAGCATCTGTCTTTTAAAGATAAAGAGTCTATAAAATATTCTAATTGACTCATAAATGTAAATTTTAAAAATACTTACTTGAAACAGGATCCAAGTATGGATCCATACATTGTGATTGATACATCCCTTAAGCCTTTTTTACCCTAAAGATTCCCCACTATCTTCTATTTTTCCTTGCAATGTATTTGTTGAAGAGATTGGGTTATTGTCCTGTAGAGTTTCCCATAGTCTGAATTTAGATTCATGCCTTTTTAAAAAAAAGACAAGCTCACAGGTGGATGGTGTGTTCTTTCATTAGGATCAGGAGGCAGTAATGTCAGATTGTCTCTTATGATGTGAACAGCCATTGCTAGATGCCTGTGTAGATTCTTTAATTTTTAGGGATTTAAAATTATGATGTTTTAATTCTAGCATTCTTTTATTAGCTGAAATACTTCAATACAGAGACATTTCTTATCAACTGTTGGTTCATATATGAAAGGCAGATTAAGTACTTGGTTTTTATTTACCAGTTTTCAAAGTAGTCAATTGATTCACTAGTGTCCTTCAGTTCTGACCAATTAGGGTTTTTAGATTGGTTTTATTGTGGATTTAACATATATATTTCCAGATATTTTTAGTTGATATGACTTGCTCTTCAAAGACATCTGTGGTAGTATTGAAATTAATAAAGATTATTTCTGGTTTATTCTAGTTTGCATTTATGCCAGATCCTGAGTGAAAATAAAAGCCGTGATAGTTCATCTTATAAAGGTAAGACTTTCAAAAGTATCAAAGCTGTTATATTTGGCTTGGCCAAAATTAATAAATATTGTTTTCCATTAAATTGTTGCAAATGAAAACAAAGCTATAAGATAGTTCACACTATATAAAGCTTTTATATGACTATATTACTGTTAGGATTAAAACTGTAGTTATAGTAAGACTATCTCTATATAGATGTTATTAACTTGCATAATAGTCATAATGATATTGCTTGACTTTATAATTACAACATGGAATATTCGGCTACATTTCAACAGTTGTTAGCTGTACTAAAAATTATACAAGCTAGCTATCAATCATAAACAGAAGAGAAAAGCTAGCATGGAAAGAAAAACTGTTTTGATATTGTTTGCGCTAGGAAATTTCCAGAAACTAAGGTTCAGTGTTTTTACTAAAGCTGGTTATGTTTAGGTGGTATCTGGGGATCTTGTTAAAGGCAGTTGTCATGGAAAACATTAAAAGCAAAGGAATTGTTTACGCACATCACAAATACGGTTTATTAAGTAAAATGTTATGTAATTAACTAGGATGTGAATTTTAATTTTAAAGGACTTTACTATTTAACACTTATTAATTTAAAATTAGGCATTTAAGAAATTTAGATTTAGAAAAGGAGGGGCAAAAACAGAACAATTTGTCCATTAAGTTTAAAGAATTTTCCTGTGTAGCTTTCATTGTGGGTGGGACCCATGACATTTTTTCAATCTGGAAAAAATGATTTATAACCAGTATTCTATTTTAAATAAAAATTACTGGATAAAATTCATTTTAGTTATTTAAGTTATGCTTTTGTGAATAGATGATTGACAATAGAATATATTTCTATAGAAATGTTTACTTTAATCAAAATATTACCTTGATGAAATATATGAGAGTATATACTTTTTAAAGAATATTTGAATTTTTGAATGGAAAGCATTCAAATGGGAAGAATTCAAACAAATGAATGAGCCATTTTTTCCCTGTCATTTGAGTAAGATCTGTTGTAAGATTTAACATTTGTAAGCTCACATTCCCAAAGTTATTTTCCAGTTCCTCCTGCTTATAAAATTGTAAGATCGTTCATAAGGTTTCTGAGGTTGATAAAATGCCATCTTTTTGAATAAATCAGTTCACTGCCAGAAGTATAAGAACATAAAAAAAATTCCTTCCTAAAAGCACTTGGATACTTAATTTTTTTCTTTCCTGTGTTTGATACAAGTGTGTAACTTCTTGGTTAACTTTGATCTTGTTTACAATTGAAATCTTAAGTGGATAAAATAAGAATTCTCAGAAGAACTATGCATAATATAACCCAGGGGATTACTCTTTCAGTTTTAAATGGGCCTGGGTGGATCTTCTATCAGATCTAACTATCAGATTATTGTTACTTTTTGCATGTTTGTTCTGATTCACATATCAAACAACATATGAAACAAAAAGTAGTTGAGTGTGGCCTCATTGGCTGGATTGCCAGTGCTCTCTTGCTTGCCCTTGTCGGTTTCTTCAACACATTACAGCTCTGGCTGATTGCTCCACCAATCAAGCTTTGGTCTGAGGGCCCCAGTTGGTAGTCCATGCTAGAAATTGCATGTAATTTCTTCAGAATTTCTTTTGTTCTATCTCGGGGATTGAGTTTGGATAGGGTTCTCTCTACCCTTTCCCTTTCTGCTCCTCTCAATTGATTTCATTTCATTTCAGGCAGGCAGTTTACCTTGCACACACTACTTCCCTTGTTCTTTTATACATCCCTCTTCCCCAGTAAAATAACATTGTAATGATGGCTGATAAACCAGGGTAATCCTAGTGGTATTCAACATAACAAAGAACTGTCATCTTCAATGTTCAAATCCCACAAAGCACTTCTAAGAATGTCCAGAAGTTTTTTTTACTTGTGGCTATTCTTAAAACTGCTTTTTCTGAAATGTTAGCATTAAGATAAAATCTTTTGTTTATTTTTTTGTGTATAAGGGCTTTAAGTTTTCCTCTCCATTGTAAATGCAAAGTTTTTCAACTTTAGTGTAGATTCTTTCAGGATTTTGTGGAGCTAGCCTTGGTAGTCTCCAGGTACCATTTACTGTTTCTATGGACAAAATACAGTAGGACATCCTAACCAGTTAAATGGGCATTTAAATGATATGTGAGTTGGGAACTGTTTTTGCTACTTTGTGGATTACATTGTGATTGTTTTTATGTCCTTTACTGCCAGCAAAATGACCTGGGCTCTTTGGTCTCTGTTTTGTAGTCTCCTGTAATTAAGATTAGAATTCCTTCAGCCTCTATCAGCTCATATTCTTATGGAAATTTAGTTTGACATTCAGCTGTTCTGTCCTTCTAAGAGTGATTGCTTTTAAAAAAAATCTTAGTTATCTGGATAACTTTACATGAGTATTATTTGCTGTAAAAGCATTTTATTAATGGAAATTCAAAGCATTAAATTAACCTCATATTCCTACCATGCTAACAAGTTAGTTTTTATATAGTTTATTGTAAGCATAATTAAGGCATATTTGTGAAAAAGGTGGGATTATTTAATAATGAATTCTTCATAAGGAATTGGGATAATTGGGCTATAGTACATTAACAAATAATTTGAGGACAAATTTATTTGATTGTAGAATACTATTTTCATTGTTTAAAGGGGGATTGATATGAGTCTTGATTTCTATTATATTCTCTTTTTGTGACTAGTAAAACCAAGAGAGAAGATTTTTAAATATTTAGTTTTTTATTTGCTGTTTTGCCCTGAAAACTTTTTGATTCCTTTTAAAAGGGGATTATAAATTGACTTTATTTTACATAAATGTTTTTAGAGCTGCTTGTTTTCCTACTTTTAATGAAAGGAAGCAAGTAAAGTTTTTAGTGTATGAAACTAAAGAAAATGATAGCTGGAAGGAGGTGTTTACCTAACCAATAACCCCCCACACACCCACCCACCCAAAAAAGAGATTCTTTCTCCTGGAAAGGGGAGTACCTGCTAATTTTAATAGTGAATGATACTACTTGTGGTTGACAGTTCTCATAGAGCTGCTGTTTTATGTATGTAATTATTTTAGTTTGAATTCTGATGGAAATAGAGGGCAAAAAAGATTGATATTTGGGGAGAAGTTTCTCTGACCTTAGGATATCTGTAAAAGTTGATTTTATATTTACTGCTATTCCTTGCCTATTGTCAGTGTAGCCCTGAGATTGAATTGACTATAATCTGAATATATTTAGAAAAATCTGTGAAATCTGCTGATGAGAGGAATGGCTAATTTAGTTTATATTCATATGCTGGAGTTCTATTCAGTCATTGAAAATAATTTTGGAGACTTTGGTAGCAAGAGAAAATGCTTTTAAAAGTGTTTGTGGGGCAATTAGAATACGAAATGATGTGCCTTTTGAATGCAAATATGTAAAATATGTAGACATAAAGGGAAAGATTGGGAGGGAATGCTCAAGCAGTAGTTATGTTATAGTAGTATAGTCAAGGTTCACTTTTTTTACTCTTTTAGTATTGTGTTTTGTGAAAATAAAAGGAAAAAAATCTAGAGAAAAGCATTAGAAGTATATTTTTCTTACCATTGTTGATGTTTATAATTCTTCGAAGTAGGAAATACATAGGTCTTACTCTCGAGGGTCTACCTTTCATGTTCAAGAGTCTGTGTTCTTACATTCTTTCAATTATGTTTTACAGATTTCCAGCAAGCTCTTTATGAGTTATCATGCCATGTCATTAATGGAAATCTCAAGCATGAACAGGCATCTAATGTTCTTAGCGACATTAGTGTAAGTATATGTGTGTGTGTGTGTTCTTTTTTGGTACAAAGATCCCTGAAGTGTATAAATTGCATTTCATTTTATTCAGAATTATACTGAGGTAGGGCAGGGACAGGGGACAAGCATCATAATTAACTTTTCCTGCCTATGATGAAAAATGCTGAGATATAAACAGTATAGTAAGAACAGGAGGGACCCCATCTTAAGGCTAAGATTCCATTATAAAAAGCAGAGAGTTGAAGAAGTAAGATTCCTAACATATTCTCTGGTAATGAGACAGTAGCCCAACAGCCTATCTTAAGGCAGGGCAGGCAGTCTTAACTGATATGTCCCTACTACTTGAGGGTAACCCTATCTTGGAGAAGAACTGGACAAATAAATTCCTTGTGTTGGGTTTATTTAGCAGAATTATCTGGAGGACTGATAAGAAAGGAAAGGAGAAATGGTGTCTCTCACCAGAGATAAGCACCTTGAGACCACAAGTCAAACCTACGCCCAACAACCCCCCCCTCACACTTTGCCCTTTCTTGAAAGCCTTAAAAGACAGAATCCCCAAACTTTCAGTGTGCCTTCTCTCTGAGGTCGTCTGCACTTTCTCTAAGTGTGTACTTTCAGATAAAGCTTTCTCACTGCTCAGATTATTGCGGTCTTCATTCTGTCTCCGCTTTACTCCTAATAAGTAGGAAGGGGCTGCTAAGAGATCAGATTTGGGCCTGCATGTTTCCATCGCCTGGGTGACATGGACGGAACTGCCGCTGTGCGATCTGTTCTTAGTAGCCTGCCGGAAAATCTCCTTTCTTTGGGAAGTTCTCAGAACATAATCTTACTCCATCCTGTGCTCCATGGCTCCCCCAAATCCTGGAGCCGTAGGGGCTAGTCCCCATGCCTTGCAGATCCACGTGGACGCAAGATGCCAGGTGACTCTGGCTTCAGGAGTTGCCAAGGGAATCTGTCCTAGGCCAAGAAATTTCCCTCTTTCCCTTGCACTTTCCTGTTCTCTGGTGCCTGCAAGGCAGCTGCCATTCCCTACTGCTGTTGCTTTAATGAATTCCTTCCTTACCTACACTGGGCTGACCTGTTTGAGAATTCTTTCTCACCCAGAATTAAGAACCCTTCCCCCATCCAGGTTGAGGTTTCTCCTAGTTCTTCACCTAGCTGCCCAGCAACAACAGTAGTGAATGTTTTAAGGTAATAGTGATAAGTCATTGTTGCTAGGCAGAAACACATTTTAATCTTTCTGTCTGGTTGTGAGTAAAACAGAAAATGTTAGATAAACTGGGAGAGCAAGAAAAAAAAGCCTGCATTTTACTGAAGTCAAGGTATACTCAATTAAAAGTGCTACTATAAAAAATAATTTGGCTAGAATATGTTTTTCTCCCAATATAGCATCTCTCAAGGTATTTTCTTTAGTTTGTGGTTATGTTTAGAAATTAAATGTATTTTTTAAACTGAGGATTCATTGATTTTGAATTGAGGTTGCATAGAGGACCTTTACTTGATACCAATTTTCGTGTTTTTGCCATTTCTTTTAGAAAATATTAACTAGATTTTTTCCCCCTAACCTTTAAGTGGTTATCACTCTTTTATTTTTTAGAGTATTTAAGTTAACTTCAGACCAAATACTTGTCATGGTGGTTTGGTATTTAAATTGAAATATGAATTCTCAAATTGTAGTCATGTTTATTGTAAAACAGTAGTTAAGTTTCAGTTTTTACAAGTGGTGTATTACTCTATTAGGCTGTATTTTAAACTGACATAAATAAAATTATCTGCCCAGTTGAGAACAACTTTCATAAAGTAGGACCTGGCACTTCTTGATATCAACGTGCATTTCCCCTGTGTTGCTTTGCTTCTGTGGCCTTTTCCTGTTAGCGTAGGTAATCTCCTTTATATTTTTCTGTTTTCCTGAGGATAGTTCTAACGAACTTATGTGTTTAGCTGTTGTGATATTTTTCCCCTCACATTGAGATGTATTTGAGCAATAGAGGTTCAATATGCATTTCTCTTTTATCGCTAAATTTTCTATATGAGAAAGCAACATTAGTTCATGTTGGAGTAGTCTTTCAACTGTGAGTTTTCCATGTTTGAAAACTCGTGTCTTGCTCTATTAATTTCTGGTCTTCAGGTATCCTGAGTACTTGCATTCAAGTAGACATAGCCAAAGTTCATAGCCATTTAAGAAATTTGAGGTTAAAGTCTGGTTGACATTTAAGGTTATTTCATTCCATTAATTGGGCATTGGTGTAGGGTTTAGTGTATTTATGAAATTTGATTCTGATACTTTTCTCATTTATTGAAAATGAACAGTCCAAATGAACTTAATGTTTATAAAAAGTATTTTATTGAAGTATAGTTGACATATTAGTTCTAGATGTATGACAGTGATTCCACATTTATGTACATTACGGAATGCTCACCATGGCAAGTGCAGTTACCATCTGTCACCATAAAATGTGTATTTTGTTCTTCTTTAGCTCACCCTTCCTTTCAGTCCTTAGTGATACATATTCTTCTGCAGCTGGATTGTCTTTGGCATGGCCTTCTCATAGTAGTGAATCTCACGGTCCCATTTCTTAGCCACAGGAGCATATCTTGTGTGTCTCTTACAGCTGCCAGGTTTTTCTTTAGAATTACATTTCTTTCCTTTAGTCTCTGAAAATAGGCTAGTTTTAGGGTTACTACAGTACCAGCAAACTAACTGCAATAATTGAATTATGTCCTTCCTAATGAAAAATCGCTCTAAAATGGGGCATGGGAGTGGGAAGTTAGGAGACAGATCTAGTAAAAATGTTGAAGTTTTCATCCAGAAACGAGGGGAGATTTTTGGGTTAGTTTCTCCAAAGGCTTACAACTGTTAGAGCATAAGAAAATAAAGATAGATTTTTGGTAATTATCTTCAGAGAATCTTGAATTAGGGAACACCAGCTTGTGATTGTTCTTATATTTTTTAGATTTCTATTCTGATACTACTATGATTTTTGCATAGATCAGTGATGGGCACAATATTTAAAATTTTGGATGAGAAATAAACCATTTTTAACAGTTTTGCTTTAGGTAGGTGTGAGGTACTGCAAATTCCAGTGGTTTCTAACATGAAAATTCATTGGAAGAATTTCAGTTGTTTTTACTCTTTAATATTTCCTGATGCTTATTTAGGTTACTATTTTTTATCAAGTTATTTAATGATAGAAATTTAAACATTTTTTCCAACTTGTCTCTTTATTTTCTCTATATCATGAAATATGAAGGATTTTATTACATATCAATACAGTGGTGTTGGGGTTTTGTTATTCTGAAACCATAATACTTGCTGGTGTGCTATTCTAGTGTTTTATTATGAATAATTATATTTTTAAAATTAGGAATTTCATGAGGATATGCCTTCCATTCTTGCTGATGTATTCTGCATATTAGGTAGGTATAAAGCCTTTATTTCACCTGTAAAAAGTGCTGTTTATTAAATTATTGTACTGTGTTAAAATGTTTTCTTCCAAAGTAAGTATTTTACAATGTACAAATATTTTTATAAATGTAAAATATATATCTGTTTACTCTTTAGAGAAAATAGTATTGTAAGTCAAATGTGAGTATAATCACTGTTTATAAACTAGTGCTAGTTTTAGTTTATAATTCAGTTTTCAGAATGTATCTTGATATAAAATGAAGCTAAATTAAGTCATTTCAAATAAAAAGGCTAAGTTTTCTGAAGTTGTTAGTCTGAATTACTCATATTTTAGTAACCACATAATTAGTCCTACTCAATTCATATTTTCAGTGAATGTCAGAATCTCAAACTTAAGACAATCAAGAGATACTTAATTTGGTATTGTACTGTTCTGATTCTACTTAATTTTAGAAAGAGCAAGAACCAAAGTAACCAAAAGTACTTTTGTTTTCAGGGTGAGAAACCAGCTTGGAAAATAGCAGCTTCTTTATTTGTCCAGAATAAATATGAATTTATGCAAGATAAAAAAGGAATATTCCTTTGACTTAGAAAAAAAAGTATTGTCCCTTCATGGGAAGCATGGATTAAAAAAAATAATGTATGTTGTAAGTTTATTTATGTAATTTTAGATGTGAATTAAAATAATTTTAAGTGAGCTTTCCCCATCAGTTTTATGCTTCCTATATATTTGATCTAATAGAAAACATTACTGGACATTATAATATTTACTTTAAAATAAGACTTATCCTCTGAGAGTTTGTCAAGCCAGAGGGAATTATTGAACTCATTAATCTTAATTTATAGAATTAGATGTGTTACTTAAATGTCTTAAAGTCTAGAATTTGATCTCAACATATCTAAATGCCTGGTGCTTGATCCTTCAGGATGTTTAAGATTTTGTAACAGTAGTAAAGTCAGAATAGGTCAAAATGTACATGGACTGTGAGCATTAAACAAGAAGGGCAGACCATTGATGTGGTGACCACATGTCCCAGTTTTGTTTTCCTTAGCATAATTATTAGTGCCTTCTTTTAATCTTAAAACTGCTCTGGTTTGGATGACAAAGTAAAAGTTCATGCTGTCTATTGGGTTGATTGGCTTATGCCAACAGAGAAAACTATTGAGCTTAATTTTTAAAGCAGGCGCTAAAGATATTATTACAGATAAATATAACATGAAACTAGTTTCAATTTAAAAAAACTTTTAAATTTGTAGAACTGAAAGAGTGATTTGTAGGTAATACTTTGTGGAAGCTATTGTTCCTTGATAGTGTCAGGGGTGTATTTTATGTTTTTCCTTGCGTAATCATTAATTATCAGCTTGCTAGTAAGTTCTAGTAATTTCTTTATTGACTTATTTTATTAGGGTATGTTTTCCCTTCAGATAGTTACTTAGTTACATGAATTGTTGTTACAAGTTATTGCTTTTTACTAGTAACATGAGTTCATGAAGATGTTTGGTTGCTTTTGGGAAATTTCTTTTAGCCTATGCAGCCTATTTTTAAAAACAAGATTAGAATGGCAAACTTGGAAAGACAATTTCTCTCACCTGCCCCCTCACTGACCCCCTGCACCCACGGCAGAAAATAAGTGAGTGATTCAAAGGTGAACCCAAACCAAGGTAGGGGAATAGGAAGAAGAACACCAGCTATCCTTAAAAACAAATGGTGATGATGATTATTATAATAATGATAATCACACTAATGTTAGTAATGTAAATGCCATTTTTTTGGAGCACCTTGTGTGTTCTAAGCATTGTGTCGAGCATTTAATTTCATTTTAATCCTCACAGGAACTTCTGTATGGTAGGTGTGCAGATCAGAAAACTGAAGCTCAGAGAAGTGATTTTGCAGGGCCACACAGCCAGTAAGGCAGGGTTTGAACCTGGGTTTTTTGGTTTCAGACCCCATGATCTTTTTATTATATTATGTTGTCTTTCTAATATTTTAATAGTTATGAGGGAATTCAGTAGTGTACTTTCCTGGTTAAGATAAAAATTTTCTTTAAAAGACTAAATAAATCATGTAAGGGTAAGGGGGCCTGAGAGTTATATTAACCTGAAAGGTGGGGAGTGTAATGTAACTTGGATGCACTGATGGGATCTCTGAGCTGGGGTAGGTGGATGGTGATAAAGAGCCTAGAACTAGAAATGGCTGAGGGCTTTTTAGTAAAATGATAGGGGAAATTAAAGAGAACTTATTAGGTACTGATTCAGGGTTGAGTAGTCAGGGATAAGGAATGAATTTATTAGAATGGTTTCATGAGTTAGGACAAAAAGAATGAAGAAAACAAGGAAAGCATAATTGGCATAATAGAGTTTTGCATTGATTGTTTAGATAGCTCTGTTGAGAAATTTACTGAGGCCTTATTAAGCATTTCTTAATATGGTCAGAACCCAGACAGTGGCACTACTCAGGTCAGATGGCTAAGAGAAGGATAAACTTGACTTGAAGAGGAGGAGCCTGCTACCAAAGCACTCTGATGTTAGAAAGTTTAGGGGTAGATCTTAGGGCATTTAGGGCCTTGGAGGGTTTAGAATGGGTCCAGTTTAGTCTGATCCCTCAAGATCAGTATCCTTAAAGTTCTAGGCTAAGGAGGGACCAGAAGGCCAGATAATGGGGAGACAACTAGGAGTCCCTGATGGAAGGGGTTGATGAGATACGCACAGAAATCTTATTGAAAGACTGAAATTATAGTACAATTTACATTGCATAAATTACACCCTGAAATTCTCTTAGTACACTTGAGCTGAATGTGTGCTTAGCTACATTGGCCCGGATATTGGGAAATGGCACTGTCCAGGAAGGGAAAATGGAGAAGGGCAAAGAAAACATGGGTATATTTCATGATAAATCCCCTTCTCTCAATTCTCACGGATGGCGGTAGAAAGTAAACTGAAGCAAAGCGGTGGTAGGATGTCTGGGGAGAGCCCTACAGTACTTAGAGGACAACTTTTAATACATGACTAAAATCAGTGCTGCTTTCTGTAGCACATTCTAAAGTATGAGTTGACTTTAAAAATAGGATAATAGTATGTAATTAGTTAAAGTAATAATCCTAAAATCAGCTTTGTAATCTTGCTAATTCTAGTTGAAATTTTTGATGCTTGGCATTTAGAGCTAATTGTTTTATTTCTTTCATACTTCAGAAAATTATTCGACAAATAGGTCAGTTTTTTTTATTGAAGTATTGTTGATATGCAATCTTTATTGGTTTCAGATATACAACAAGGAGGTCTCAGCTTTTAAAAAAGATTTCAGTAGGAAGAAAATAAAAATCTTGAATATATTTTTGTTTGCTGACTAGAATTATAACTCAAAATAGGATATTAAAAATATCTTTTAATACTGTCTTTTCATAGAATTGATGGCCAGGTAGCTTGAATAGAACATGGTACATGGTTACAAGGTGGCCAAGGTCACGAGTTTTGATCTTCCTGAGTAATAGGATCTTTAATGTCAGAAGAGATCTTTGTTGTCACCCAGTTCAACTTAACACTCAAGAAAGGAATTTTTTCTTTAGCATCTCTGACATGTGGTCATTTAAAGTTTGCTTTAATATTTCCATTTTTGTAAACAGTGGGGTTTTTTTTTAAGCTTTGTTGCTTTTCCAGTGCCATAGCATGCAGCTTCTGTGTAATCTATTTACCATTTTATGGGTATGCCATTGGTCACAGGGTCAGTCTCCAGTATAAGGAGAAATTAATTCTAAGCATTCATATGCGTATGGAGGACAGCTCATGCTTACCATAGTTTCAGATTTTTTTTCCAAATGAGCATTTCAAAATTAGCTAGTTTTAAAGAAAATTAAGTATCTTATTTTAGTGTTGGAGAGAGTCTAGGAAAATATGTCAAACTTTCATCTTTTTTTTCCTTCACTGTAGATACTGAGACAAATTGTTTAGAAGAAAAAAGCAAGAGAGACTATTTTACACAATTGGTATTAGCATGTTTGGTAAGTTTTAAAAAACACTTTCTACATTTTCCATTGAACACTTGTAATTACAGTAAACACGTTAATGGAGGAGAATGTTGACATCTAGTTGACTATTCATTTTAAGGTGAGATTGGGGTTTTGAAATGGAATGATTTGTAAAATTAGACATACTAATTATTTCTATGAAGTAGGCATGCTACCATATCATTTATCTATACATATAAAACCTTAGGTGGTATTCCTGACCTAATAAATTCCTGAGAGAAAGGTAAACATCTATCAAGTGAGTAGAAATGATGTGGACAGCTTTTAAACTGAGCAATTTTTCCTAAACGATTAGGTAAGGAGAAAAGAAATGAAGGTAGTTTAAAAATAATAAATTCTAGAACTTGTCATAATCATTGTCTAATAAACCATTTTGTGTTTATACATTTAGAATCAAGGAGAAATGCCATTACTCAGACCTGGAAGAATGTCCTTGTCTTTGCTGTGCTAGAATTTGACCAAAGTGCTGTATTATCTTAAAATACAGTTGACAGATTCAATTTTAATCAGAATTTCATCGGTTGTTCTTGTCATTTGTAGGCCGTGTACAGCATGCGTTTAATTTTTTAGTGAGTGTTCTTTTAATGTCACATTTTTCAATATTTGCAGTCTTTATTTTGTTCTATCGAAGTTCTAAGCTTTTTTTATTGTTACAAATTGATACATTTTTGTGTTATTTTAGTATTTGGGAAAAGCTGTTTTGAATATATTGAAGTATACTCAATATAAATATATAATATATTTTAAATATTGTGGTTGTGTAGTTGGAATGCTAAGGAATAAATGGCCTTTAATATTTTTTAATGCAGTATTTAGTTTCAGACACAGTTCTAAAGGAACGCCTGGATCCAGAAACATTGGAATCATTAGGGCTTATCAAACAATCACAGCAGTTCAATCAAAAGTCAGTTAAAATCAAGACAAAACTCTTGTAAGTACATGTACCTTTCTGTTGCAGATCAAGTACCTGAGTGTGTTTTGTTAGCTCTCGTTTTGAATACTAGAAGTTTCTAAAGGCAGTTGAAGGTTTTTTATGTTGCTCTTACCATGTGTCTCCTATTTTTTCCTTTTAAAAGTAGCCTGTAATTACTGAGTCAGCATTGAACGTGGCCTGTGTGAAACCAGTATAAATTTTTTTCCATATTAGAAGTTGAAATAGTATTCAGTGCTTTAAAATTATATACTAGGGTATATCCTTAGTGATGGAAATAGTGGTATGTTGTTACTCCTTGGGATTAGCAATATCTATTCTTTGTGTTACTGATTTTCCCTGTGTAATTGTCTCTTTGAACTATTGTTATCATTCTATCCTAAAAGATAAACAAAGGTAAGTTTTCAACAACAATTCTTAGTATTGTTATCTAAGAGAGATAAGAATATTCAATGAAAAGAATACAGTACTCTTAATTAAGCTTGCTAATTGAAATTAATTTTATCCCCTGTATGATGTTTATCTAATTTCAGTTATAAGCAGCAAAAATTCAATTTGTTAAGAGAAGAGAATGAAGGTTATGCCAAGCTGATTGCTGAATTGGGGCAAGATTTATCTGGAAATATTACTAGTGATTTAATCTTAGAAAATATCAAATCTTTAATAGGTAAGACATGCATAGTATGTTAATAAGAAATGAGTTTTTTAGCTATTGGAGGATATCCATAAAGACAAAATGAGTGCATTCCCTATAGTTTTTTTTTTCAATTAAGAAATGAGAACATGTGCTTTTAAACTTATTCTTTTAAGATTTTATCAGTAATAAAAAATTTAAGTTGATGATGAGAAATCTTTTTGTCACTGTTACCTGTGTGTTTGTATTAGTTTCTGCTTTCTCTGGTATTTCTCTTCAACTTTTAAGTATTTCTCAATAATTTTATAGAGAGCAGAAAATAAAGTAAGCAGTTGAAACATCAATAAAGTCTTCGCTGAACTCTTGAAATGCAGAGATGTTTAGTTTTTGTGAACTTGATTTACAAAATATCTTTATCAGGGACATTGAACACACCTTATTTTATCTTTACAGCAGCCTGTTAAAGTAAGTGCAGCAGGTGGTATAAAAGTGTAACAGGAAAGTTATTTTTTATAAGAATTTTTAAAAATAAATATTTCTTTAGCATTATTCTTTTTATTTGCATTGAGCATATAGAGGAAATAGTTGGCTTCTAT